GCTTACTGGTATATATTAATGTTGGTTATGAAGAGAAAAGCAACTAAATTTTTTTATTGATGCTTTACAATAATGAATTAACTATTTCTTCTATTAACTTGTAAACATACAAAAAACAGATTTTTGATTGCAGTGATCTTATTAATAACTTATTTAGCTATGGGTATCTAGTCTTTTTTAATTAAAATACCTCTTACTCTCTTCCTAACAAAGATTAATATAGCTATATAATTAATGATAAATTTGACACCACTACATAAATGCATTCCAGGTGAAGCCTGATCCGTCATATACAGATTGTACAAAGGTCCTTTATCCATAAGAAATCTGCATGGACGTGACCACTGCGAGCTATATAAAGAGTTAGAAAATTACCAAATATAGCTTTTACAATCATATAAACTAAGTATAATTACTACATTAGGGAGCCTGAAACGTATGATTTCCTATTCATGCAGAAATCACAATTTCAAAACCAATATAAGGGTTACAGTAGGGTATATAAACAACATGTGACGTATTCCAGGTAGATATATCAACAATATATCATTGCTCAAAAGAAGTACTAAAATAAATAGAAAAGTCAAAGATTTTGTGGAACTATTTGTAACTTTTAACAGCGGTATAGTTAAATCGGACTAACCTCGTACTGATACTAGGTCATAGACGACATAAGGACAATGAAGAGGCTGCTTTACTTATTCGAGAAGGGATCTTAAAGGCTATTTTGGCCTTTAAAAAGCAGTGGCTTTTAAATAAATCTTAAAAACCGTGAAGAAATTCACCAAGACATATACAGTCCAGATAGTTCATAAAAGGACAATATCCATAACTCATTGGGTATCTAGGAAGCCAAAATATAACAACATTAGGAATGTAGCTCACCTCATCTTATGATTACTCTGCAATTGTGGTTGCTAGGAGTCGGATTGTTTATAATTGTATGATTATCACTTAGAATTTTATAAACAGGTTATGTTATCTAACAAAATGTAGTAGTTTGTGCAACAAGAGTGGATATAAACATTCCACTCAAGTTTTCTATGATCCACTAATGAAAATCTACAAATTAAAAAAATTATTTTAAGTTATTAAGACAAAATAACTAATTTTAAAATAATTTATGAATTTTACTAATTTATAAAATTAAATAAACAAAATTAAGTAACGCCCAGATTTTAATTTTAATACTCGTAATTAAATTAGTTTATTATAGTTTGATTAACATTTAAATTTTCGGTCAAAATGTGGATCCAATAAAAATAAAAATGGTAATATTTATCGATTCTACACAAAAATAACTCATTTTAACGTATATTTAATCTCAATAACTGAAAAATATGCTGAAAAATAGTTTGACATAATTGTCACTGTGATTGATTTTATTTTTTTTTTTTAGTTTTCGTACTACCTAGAATGGATATGAAATCTACTCAGTCAGTTGAACGCAATATCGTACTTTTTTGTTATGTAGTCTGTGCGTAGATAAACTAATATTCCTGTGAGTGTAGAAAAAATATATAACAACTTCATTAGGTATATGTATATTACTAAATTGTCTAGAATTTCTGACTACAAAATATCTGATTCAATCATTTTCTGCTGAATATGTATAGTGAAAGTTAATGCCCTGTCAAAATTGTCCTTTATAAATTTCGGCATACTTAACAAAGTACCATTATTCTGATAATAGAGGGTAAACTATGATTTTTTCGTGGTATATGACATGACACTATATTTATCAGGAATCAAATAGGTATAAATAGTTTTTAGGGTATCACAATGATAAAAGTATGTTACTGTACTTTTTCCAATAATGTCGTCTATAAAAACTATGCAAAAGGACCGAACCTTGCAAGACACCTGGGATTTGCTTCATATAATTTAACTTAAATCTTTGATATACTGACATACTGACGTTCTAACGTCTATTTTCTCATTCGATAAATGAAAAAAAAAAAAAAGCAGATAGTCCTTTAGACTTTAAATATTGTAGTAGAATTTTGACGGTCAATCCATTATAATGCCTTAGAAAAGTTGATATAAATAACATTAACGTGATTTCACCTATTTAAAGCTGCACACATGATTCGACACAATTAACTTACTTTTTAACCCTAAAGCGGTATCGTACGTAAAATTTACGTGTGCTTTGTAGCGAAAGGGCTTTCTCCACTAATTCTTTTGAGTCCCGATCTTGAGCTTTTAACAGTGCCTCAGGAAACATCCACTTGTGAAGATTTCTAGATGTCACTATTTAGCAAAAGAATATGTGGCTTGATTTTCAAAAGTATACACGTAAGAAAAACGCATCGATACCAATAAGCAGTTATTTGTTGTACGTTTATCGGACGTGTCGCCAAGCTTAAAATTTTAGGCTTTGCTTATTTCTTAACGACTGTCGCTGCAAATGGCCCTATGTGTCTTTTACAATATGATAAACATGGCTTGCATCAATTCATACATAATTTAGTCACATAATGTTGATAGGTGGTAAAATTTTTACACGTTTTGAGTACTTCACAAAAGTCTTATTAAACCATGGCAATCACAACGTCAACAAATGGGATACCTAGGTACAGTAAGTGCAATAGATATTAAAGAAACCTTTTTACCTAGTACAAATATCGAAGGGGAGGGGATTAAAAAGGGACATTTGCCACCTTTGTCCTACATTAAAGGAAAGAATGGCAACTACGTACTGCGTAAAATGTACCAAAACAGTGTGGGGAACACCAATTAAAAATATTCACGTGTTTCAAAAAAAAAATCAAATAAAATGTTCTCTTTATTTTTAAATTCAGTTACTGTAATTTTTGCATTTTAAATATTGTTTTGTTATAAAAATATGTTAAAAATACTATTTTAGGTTCCGATAAAATAAAACGAATGAAGCAGGTAATTATACAAAGTGTATATGTGAATATTTGCGAATGCGTAAATTTTACGTGTCCATACCAACAAGCGGTAGAAATTAAACGATACCATTTTAGGGTTAAAGAGACATCTTGATATGTGATAATCAACTAGAATGATGGCTAGATAAGTACGTGTCTATCATGAATTCAAATACTTTGGAGAAATTACAGTGTGCTAACGGGTTGTAGTTGTTGGTATAATTTTTTTATGTACAGCTGTAACTGGAAATAATTTGCATAGAAAAATAACAGTTTTCAATAATAATTGCAAAATAAGTTTTAATCTTTTAAAAGCATCTACATTTTCTGTTCATATAAATAATTTATAAATTAAAATAAGTAAAATACTTAATGAATGGAATCGTAAAAACTGATTCCACACCACTTTCGTTTAGGTAATAAAAATGTTTAAAAAAGAGTTATTAACGAAAATATTATCCACCAACACCCGATTATACAATTATGTTCGTTGTTTATAGACCCTCATCATTTAAATTCCATATTAAAAAAAAACATAATTATCTCGAAACAAATCCAATAAAAAAACTTGCTGCTTCCGTGTTAACCCAACGAATTAATTCGAGCTAACAACCGTTCCTCGAGTTCTTCGTAAACAATTCGACACCGAAGAGTGGCTATAGTGGCCGGGCCCGAACAATTTTCAAAACTAGTCTATAAAGAAGCCATTAGTGACCGCAGCTGTGTATACTAACAAGGCTCAAAAATCCTTGGTCTCTTTTTACAACTGTCTGGTCGCATCTCCGAGAAACTACCTTCGATATAGTTATTAGGAACACAATTTCATTAATGATGGGTCTTGTATGAAGAACGGTACGGAATTCGTGTAGAGGGTGATCAGAATCACAATAAGTTTACAAGTACTACTAATGCAAGGATGAATGTATATTTTTCTAATCCTTTGTGAAAGCTTATTTCCTTTACATATTACATAGCATAAAGTATAGGTCTAAAGTTACCGAGAAATTTTAAGATGTTCTGTAATTTTTCCAAATGGCGTTCAATAAAGTTGTAGAAAATCAAATGTCTTAATGTTGGGAGTTTAGTTTTTCTACTAGTTTGTGAAAATGTCGTATAAAGTAGATAATCCTACCAATGTACCTGTTGGATATATATCCAACAAATAACATCAGTTTATATTGCCAACCTTGTATTATTATTATTATTATTATTATTATTATTAAAAACAATTAAAGGCTAAGAACTAGGTTCTGTATAGCCTAACAATTTATAATAACTTGTAAACAATAGTAAATTAATATAGTTTGAAGTTAATTAATTATTCATAAAAAAATCTAATCTATTTTTAAACATGTTTATTTATAACATCATTGGACAAGCTGTTGCAAACTTCAAATATTTTGCGTGTTAAAAAATATTGTCTGTATTTAGTCCTATAGTGTTCTTTTTAATTTAAATTAGTGACCTATTAGCGTGTTATCATGACAAAAAATATAAATACAAGTATTAGAAATTAAAAATTAAAAAAACCGACTTTAAAAACGTGCAGATGCCATCACCACATCTTAACCAAATTTATATGCGACCACTCCTGAGTTACCCCCTTACTAACAAAAAAGAATCATATAAATCGGATAAGGTAGTAAAGCATTATCGCTAAACATACATAAAAAATGAAGATTTTAAAGATTTTTTCATGGACCAATTATTAGATTTTGACTAAATTTATATGGGACCACCCCCTTTCTAGCAAAAAAATTCTTCGGTATTTAAAGGAATACAGAAGAAATATAGAACGATCTGTTACAGTGTATGCTGGATGTCTGTCATGAACAAATAATTGAGGAAATTAATAATTCTTCGTTTTTGGCGATCATGGCGGACGAAACAATGGATGTTGCTGCAAAAACTCAACTGGCAGTTATATTTAGATACGTTCGCAATGGTGAGCCAATTGAACGTTTTTGAAACTACTTAATTCCTGAAAAATGTGATGCAGAAGCACTTAGTAAAATAATTTTAACTGTTATAGATCCTTTAATTCAAAATTCACCGAACAAACTAATTGCAAAAGTTATGATGGAGCCGTGGTGATGAGCGGCAAAGACACAGGAGTTCAAGCATTATTAAAAAAAAGTATCCTTTTGCTCACTATGTACATTGCTATGTCGATCAGTTAAATTTAATTATGTCTAAAGCTGCTTCTGCAAATTCGCAAGTATGTGTATTTTTGGGAAATATACAAGACATTCTGGGCTTTTTTAATAATTCACCACAACAAGTAGAAGTCTTAAAGAAGATTGTGAAGAGAAAGATCCCTTACGGTGCTACAACCCGTTGGAATTTTAGTGTAAGAACCATTAATGTCGTATACGAAAATAAAGCGTCTCTTATTGAGTGTATGCATGAAATAGAAGAACAATTCACCAACAGCACAGTCTGTAGTGCAGTCGCTTCTATTCGCCATACATTAAATGATCCAATCTTCAATTTTTGGCTGACTTCTTTTCATCATGTGATGCCCCACGTAAATTGAACCCACTCTAGTAAAAGACACTATCGATAATTTTGAACGCAGTATCACTCATCATTACTGAAGCATTAGATATAATAAGCGACCAGCCACTAGAAAATAAACGCAAGCGCCCAAGTAACAGCAGATTTGATTATCGGATTTTTGCTTTAGAGGTGTGTGACGTTATCCTAAATTGTGCAAAAGATCGATTTGATTTAAAAGAGCATCTAGTAGTTGCCTATTTTTTTTTTCGGAATGCTTTGGAGAGTATTGTGGTAAATTTCCCGAGGATAAACTTACTTCCGCATGTATTTTTTATCCCACATTTGACAGAGAACGATTGCGAACTGAACTGTCTGTTATTTATTCAAGAAATGATTGCAGGACATTGAATGGCGCACTATCTCTACTAAAATTTTTATTATCAAACAATCTAGGAGATACGTTAAAGGAGACTAGAAAATTATTAGAAATTCCTATGACAACATCAGAGGCCGAACGATGTTTCTCAACAATAAATCGAATCAGAACGTTTCTCAGAAATTCAATGACCGAAGATCGTTTAACAGCTCTTTCCATGCTATCTATTGAAAAAAAGTTTATTTCCGAAATAGACAATTTTAATGAAAAAGTTATTACAAAATTTGCGAACCAAAAAGAACGTAGGATAGACTTAATTTATAAAAAATAGACTGTAAAATCGCACTATCTGTTTAAATTTTTCACGTCATTTTCTTAAACATTTTGTATTTTTCTTGAAGAAAATAAAGTACAGTAAAATAGTGTTTGGGTTTTCTTTTTTTTGTGTGACAATCGTTCCAGCAATCCATCATTCAGCAAGCACGATAAAATCGATATGACTTTGACTAAGAAGGCAACCCCCCTGAAAGGTAAGCTTTTTTTACAAAAATTGCAGAACACCCTAACATTTTTACCACAAGCCGCCACTGGACTAATGCTATTTTTCACTGACCTGGTAGGGTTGATGTTTAAAATGATAAATTTATAATTATTGAAAGGAGCGTAGTAAGAAAATCAAAATTCTTTAAAAAGAATGAATTCAATAGATCCAGTCCGGGTGAGGAGTGGTTTTTCAGTTTCATAATGTGCTTTTTGACAATTTCGGGGGTAAACGATATATTGCTTAATGTGCTATTTAAACGGGGAGCTACAATTTCCGGAATCGTATTGCTATTTGCTTCGTTTGTAAAAGTTAAGCTGAATGTTTCTGCCAAAATTTCTGCAGATTCGAGGTTACTAGAACTGAGATAACCATCAGCATTTCATAACAAAGGATCGCCATCTTTTGAGTTTAGACTACTACGGATATATTTATATAAAATTTTTGGTTTGTATGGGTCTCTTCGTATTCAATTCTTACCGAACGAATTGTAGCAGTAAGTATGTTAGAAAAGTTTCTGTGTACTTGATAGTCAGTTAGGACATTTGATTTTCTATATTTTATGCACAAACGTTTTTTGTGATGAATTAAGGACATTATGTTAGCGTTGATCCAGGGCTTGAGAGGATTTTTTCGAAAACATTTTTTACGTGTGTGTCTATCAATCGTACTAAATAATATTTTGTGAAATGTATTCCACATACCATTAACATCTTCTATAGGAATCAAAGACGGCAGTCAGTTTATTACGGTGATTTCAGAATAAACAGAGACATAATCGGTTATTAAGTAAGTGTTGAAGCTATTCATTTTTGAGTTTTCAATGGTTATTTGTACATACGCTGATATAACTAGGTAATCCGATATACCAATCGGAGGGAGATAGTTAAGTTCTGAAATAAGGTGTTCATCGTTGGTGATGATGAGATCTAAGGTAGATGGTTCATTATTTATTCGAAATCTTGTTGGTTGATTAACATGTTGGTGTAAGTTACTTTCTGAGAATCAACGGTAGCAATAACTTAGCGCATTTTCAGCAATAAATAATTTCAAATAATAATACTTATCCAATCAAAAAATGACACACAAAGACACCTGGAGGCTGTGATAGACATTTGGTCAGACGACGTCACAAAGTAGCATGCGTTTGTTGCTGTGATTGGTTTATATAAGTGTGTTTCAGTTGTGCTTTACATCATGTGACCCAATCAGAATATATTTTTTGAAAGTAATAACCAATATGAACTAGTAATTCATAATCAACGTGGACTTGAGACTGAAGTCGAATATACACAGGTGCAGACTACAGATGTCTTTATTGACATCAACGTCATTTTTCTAAAGCGGAATTGTCATTTTTTAAAATGGTAACCGAGCAGACTACTAGTGAGTTTTATTGGTGTGTCTCGTCACTTTACTTTGTAATTTAAACGTTAAAAAAATATCAACATAACATAATATAAACTTTTAGAAGGTAAATGTTAGAGCAAATAGGGAGATATTTCTTTTTTGTCTTTGTTTTATCAAGAAATAGTTCTGTTCCATATATGGCACACTATGCATTTTTGTATAAATAAATTTTGGCCAAATATGGATTATCATGAATCCTGAACTTGGATTGAATTTTTTACATTTTTAAGGGTAGCACCATTCAAAAAAATGTATGGAAGAACCAGTACTATTACTTATGACATACCAGAGGGCAGTGATGTTGAACAACTCTCAGATGAAGAGAAACTGATCTATTTTTTAATATTTTTGTGTTGCTGGTTGTGCCATATATGACAATAATCTTAGTATTTTTTATATTTAAAAAAAAAAATCATTTTTTTTATTATTTAAGTAAATGTAACACCTACGTTATTTTAATTTAATAAGGAAAAATCATGGAGTAAGGTGTTTTAACTCAGAAATATTTCTTATAATGCTACATAAGATTTAGAAGACAGCAAATAACAAAAATTCACTATTTAATCTGAAATCACAGATGGAAACCGAGTAAAACTCTTAGGATCTATTGAATCTCCCAAATTGACCCTTAGAA